TGACATCTGTCTGTACGTTGTCATGTCTGGGGGAAGAACAAAACCCAAAAGCAGCTGAAATGGTTTCAGTGTTTTGCTGGAGCTCCTGCAGTTGATGATATGCACATTTACACTCGTAATCCCAAATGGGAAAAGCTATTTTAACTTACACCAACTGAGAGAAGTGGCAGGTTTATTTTAACCTTAGCAATAAAAAAATTGCTAAAACCAGGCAGTTTCAAGAGCTCCAAGTTTAAAGGAATTGTCAGAGCTTTCAGATTATTTGGGAAGTCAGGAGTTTCTCCCTTAACTGAAATAAATTATAAATTTTAATTGCTTATTTCTTCATTTGCTACATAATTTTCTATCATTGTTACAAACTCACATTGCTACATACTTTACTGTCATTATTAAAACTTCATGTTAATGTTACAACCTCATCAGTCATCAACAATTTCCCATCCTCTTTTACGACAAATGTTTTAGCCCGTACCCTAAAAAATTCACAATAAATAAAAAAAAAATGCAATAAAGTATAAAAATATAAAAATAATAAAAAATAAAGATGACTGCAGCAGAAATTTCAAGGCACAGGCTGGGACATCAATTACTGATGTGCTACAATTTTACCAGCATCAATTAATACAAGCACATCAAGTCTATCATTATTTTATCTGTGCTCAGAAATGGTTTCCTAACTGAAATATTTTCATTTCTCAGCCAGCTGCTGGGGTTTGCCTGTGACAGCTGCTGTGATTTTTGTGGGAAAAGGGTTTTTCTCAGCAGCCAGAGCTCACATGGCTGAGCAGGATGGAGCTGCCTGGGGAAAGGGGCTGAGCTGCACCTCAAAAATAAAAAATAAAAGGGAGAAAAGGAAAATGATGAGCTGCACTGGAAATATTAAAAAAAAAAAAATAAAATATGAGCTGCACAAAGCAGGTGAACTGGTGGAGCTGCAGTTTTGCCTTGCTCACAGGGTTGAAGCCCCTTGCTCTCCAGGCTGTGAGAGATCCAGGCCATGCTGCTGCCCTTGCTGCTGGTGCCTGCTGGGATTGGCTGTGCACCCCAAAACAAAACCCCTAAATGGCACCAAAACCTGAACCTGATTAAACTGGCTTTCACAAATATCACAGCATCTTAAATAGGCTCATTCAACACCCGAGAAGTGGTCACCATAAACATAATAAATAATAGCATCAGCAACACCAACAGAATTATAAAGGCTCCAATAAACAACCTTGTTTTCTTGCAATATTATTCTTCTAAGCTTCATTATCATCAGGTTTGCTTCCTGGTTTTGGCCACTGGCACACTGAATGAGGTTTAATAAAACACTGAATTTTGAAAAAGGGCATGGCAAATAAATGGCATTTATGTGTTATTGCATTCTAATTCAATAATGAGGAAATCTGGATTTAGCTTTTATATACTGATTAATGAAGAGTGCTCTGCTGATTAATGTGAAGAGTTCTTCATTATGACAGAAAAAAAGTTTAACATAATTCAGAAATTTAAAGAATTGCAGGCCTGGAATGAATCACAAAACTCATGGCATCAAATCTAATTACAGAAAAGATGAATTTTTACCTCCACACACCATTTGTAAGTCCTGGTTTTCTTAGGATCCAGTACAATCTCACTGTTACCTGGCATTTCCTCCCCCATGTTTCATTCAGGTCATTATTTGAAGAGGGGTATAAGCAGCTCTTTAAAAAGTAAAAAATTCCCTAAATTTCAATGAGGACAAAGATGCCTCTCTGAATTTAAATTCTCTTCCCAAAAACTTTTTTGTCTTGCAATGATATACCCACAATAATAATTAAATAGCAATAAAATAAAAAAATAAAATAACAAATAAATAAAATAAAATAAAATAAAATAAAATAAAATAAAATAAAATAAAATAAAATAAAATAAAATAAAATAAAATAAAATAAAATAAAATAAAATAAAATAAAATAAATAAAATATGAAAAGCAATTAAACTCTCTTTCTACCACATGATTTTCTGTGATAAAATCACGGAGCAGCATCAGGAGCAGGATTTGCCTGGAATGCTCTCAGCTCTTCTCCCATTGGAACTGAATCCCTGACAGATTTCAAGCGTGGCCAAACAAGTTATTCATATCTCCTGTATTTATTACACTTAAAACCTGCCATCCCAGCTCGATTTTCAAGATGTCATGGGAAATAGTGTCAGAAGTCATCCAAAAGGCGAGATGACTTCTGACAATTCATGTTTTTCTCCCAGTAAGCTTCGGTACATTGGAAAAAAAAGAATAAAATACAATGTTCTGACATGATTCATTCTGACCAGCCATGCTGGCTGGTATTTATGTCCTTCTTATCATTGAGACACTTAATGCTTTTTGATTCTTTCGTCAGGTTTTCAGTTTATGTTGTCTGTTTCAAAATTCCATGTTTCTTTTAAAATATGGGACCATATTTTGACTATCCTTCACAAATCCTTACAAGAAAATTCGGGAATGATTTCACTTGGCTCCCTACCTAAAATGAAATTCATACAAGCCAGTGATTTCAGAATAATTTAAATATAGGTTTATTTTCCAGGCTAATCCACGTTTTAAGCCATTATTATGAATGCTAATTACAGCTCCTCATCCCAGTGAACACCAACACAAAAATGACATGAAACAATTTGGGTTTCTGATTCTTCAGACCAAAACATTGATATTTTTCCTCCCTGACTAATGAAACTTTGGAAACTTTTATTCCTGAATACTTGGCTTTTGTTTGTCCAGACTTGTGCACATTTTATAGAATAAATCTTTATCTGTGCTACACCCTCAGCACCCTCTGCCAGAATTCCACATCAGACTCCAGAGAGATTTTCCTGACTCCTTTCTTTAGGATATTTTGATCTCTGACTTCTTTAGCTCATTGTTACCCAGTGCTACACTCTGAAGGTCAATATTTGAGTCTGACAGTCATACACTAAGGAAAATATATAAATATTTAGCTTTGAATTAGATTTTTCCCCTCTATAATATATCTACCATTTTGAATCCGCTGCTGAAGATAAACCAGAAATTATATTATTAATTTTAATGGTGAACTTGCTTTTGCTTCCAGTATTTTTCAGTCTCTGAAGACTTTTGCCTTTGAAATAATTAATTATATTAGTGGTATTTATGCTGTAGTTAAATGTGACTCCATTAAACTTCTGAAAAAAGTACCCAAGACTAAATGAAATAATTAGACTTTCACTCCCTTGGAAATGATTCTCTAACCACAAATAAATACATGCTATGGGGAATTATTTATTTCACACAACCAGTACTGTTTATTTACAGCAGGGATGGTTGAGTATTATTGGAGTTTTTTTCTGCACACATCAAGGCTAAGTGCAATGTACTGAGATGCATCACTTAGAGTGGATATATTGAATCTGAAAAAAAGATTTTTCCAGAAAACAGTTTTCTGAAAACCATTAAAGGACACTTAAGAGGTAAATAGCAAAATATCCCAGGGTATGAATTTGGCATCCAGTAGCTGATACAAAACTAATGAGCATATAATCCAATTTTGCAGCTTTCTCATTGTCTATGAAACATTGAAAGAAAACAAATAAGAAAGTGGAGTCATTAAACACCCTGAGACAAATTCATTTTTGTAAGTCCTAAATGGCAAAGGAAACACATTAGAGGTGAACTTGGTTTTCCCCTTTTTCTTTAAAACTAAACTAAGCTAAGGTAAAATGCATTTGAAATTGTAATAAAGACAGAAATGTTTTGCAGAGGGGATGGAAAACTGCTGTGTCCCAATTCAATATTACATATAATTTGATTTTTAATTATTTCCCTTGAATTCTGAGAGCTGTGTAATGAGGTATGGTCTTGGAAAATGCATGATCTAACATCTCTCTTTTCTGACACTACCAATTCAACCCTTTTTTATTTCTCTGTTTTCTGAACTAGATGTTAAATTGTGGGTGTAATCCAATATTCTGCTAAATTTAATACACTAATTTAATGAAGAAATCTTATCTCTCCTAGTCATTTATGAATTTGCAGTAACAATATCAAAGACAACCAGGAAATTTAGTCAACCAGCTGTCATTATTTCCCAGTTGGGCTTGGAAATTAAAAAAACAGGTGCTATACATTCTAAAAAAATATTCTATTAAGCTGAGAAAATGTTTTTCTAAATAATCTTTAGCTAAAGTAGTGTTAAATATTTCAGCATTTTCAAGCTGTGTGATATACATTTATACCAACAAATGCATTATTATTTACCAAAATCAGATGAATAGAAAAATAAAGATTTTTCTAAGGAAGTGTCAGAAAGGAGTTTCAATCTACATCGAAATCCATATTTAAAGGCTGTGAGGAATGATGTTTTGAAACAAAATGGGTTTCCTATAAGAGGGAAAGCTAACAGAATTCTGGAGTGGGAGGAATATATCCATATTGTACATTTCTGTGAAAGACAGAGAAATTAATTTGTCTCCATTATTTACATTCAGGTCCTAAAGGCCACGTAATGTACAGATTCCATGAGCTTTTAATTTGGAAATGTCTCTGGAATGAGGGTGCTCATTAAATTCTCTTCAGATTCATTACTATTGAGTCAAGTAACTTAATGGACAAAGTAAGAAGAGATGAGAAATAAGACCTAAAGATGTAATATCCAGCATTTCACACCAAGAGGTGTTTTAGCAATCAATATCACAGGAAAATAGGATTTTTTTTAAGGATTCTGCTTGTGGGGCACAGGAGGCTGCACTGATCACGTCGGTGCTGCATCCACTCCAAGCTGATGGAACAAACCAGTAGCACCACACACAACTGTAGTAAAGCACAGCCTATGTGCAGGTTTATGAATGAAAACTTCCAGCTGCCAAAGAGAAAAAGCTGGAAGAAAGCGTGGTGAGACCAGGATTGCGGGACTTTTATCATTTACAATATTTCTGTGCTGCCTTTTGAGTACAAAAATCAACATAATCGGCATTTATAATGCATTTCTAACGCTGTGCTCATCACTCTCTCTGTCCCTGGCAGGCTGTCCACCACCAGCAGCTCCCTTGGGATGAGCACCAATGGCTCTGACGAGTATTTCCAGTCCACGAACCACGCGGAGCAAACCTTCCGCAAGATGGAGAATTACCTGCAGCAGAAGCAGCTCTGTGATGTGCTCCTGATCGCCGGAGACCAAAAGATTCCAGCCCACAGGTACACCTCCCAGCACCCTGTAAGCCTGAAATTGCCAAAAAAAGCTGCCTCAGTTTATGAATATCCTGGTTAGTTATGAATGAGGAGTTACTATAATTAGGACTCCGGCTAATGTGGAATAGAATCACGTGATCAACATTTTAGAGCTATTATTTTAAACACAATGAAATTCAAATGGAAACCACTGGCACTGTCCACCCTCTCTTCTCACTGCTGTCAAACCACAGCAAGATCAGGGAAGAAAATCTGCCCAGATAAGCACTCTGGGAGAAAATTAGATTACTAATTACTCTTTTAACTTCACTGCTCACTGCTACAAGACTTGAGTCCTATGCTAATCATTTCCATTGTGCACACAATTTATAACAGAATAATGCTGGATTTTCTGCCTGGTACTGGGATGATGAGGCAATAATTTGCTGTCCTGCTAACACTGCTCCCCTCCAGGCTGGTTCTCAGCGCAGTTTCTGATTATTTTGCTGCGATGTTCACCAGCGACGTGCGGGAAGCGAAGCAGGAGGAGATCAAGATGGAGGGAGTGGATCCCGAGGCGCTGAAGGCTCTGGTGCGCTACGCCTACACAGGTAACCCTGCCCCAGAGCTGCCTCCTGCCTTCTCACACCAAAATAGAAATAGAAACTTTCTTCCTCTAGAAATACTGCATGTATTTCTGTTCATTAATATGTGAATTTTCGTACTCTGGGTTGGAAGGGAGTCTAAAATAAACACCCATCTCCAGCCCCAACACCTTCCACAAGATCAGGTTCCTCAGAGCCCTGTTTTGGGAAAGGTTTTTTTTCCCTAATCACAGTTTTATTTTTTAATATTTTTTTTACCATCCAGATCAGTTCTACAGCTGTTAAAATTCCAATAAAAATGTCCCAATCTCTGTATTCAAAATCCACCAAATCCTGTAAGTTAAAATACTTGTTTAAAGAATCCCTCAGCGTGAAAGGAAAATGAATTTGTGAACCACAGGACATCTCAGGGAAAAGCCAAAGAGCGGCAAACTTTCAAATAATGAAAACACAAGGGAAATTACTTAAAGCTTTCTTTCTTTTTTTTTCCTAAATAAAACCTGCCCAGGTATCCTCGAGTTAAAAGAAGACACCATAGAGAGTTTGCTGGCTGCTGCATGTCTTCTGCAGCTCTCCCAGGTCATTGAGGTGTGCTGCAACTTCCTCATGAAGCAGCTCCACCCTTCCAACTGCCTGGGGATCCGCTCGTTCGGGGACGCCCAGGGATGCTCCGAGCTCCTGAAGGTGGCCCACACCTACACCATGGTAAGGTGAACAGCTGACAGCTCTGCAGCCACAGAAATAGTCCTTTTACCTGCAGAAAGAGTCGCTTCTGGTGCTCCCCGTTTCACAGTTCTGCCTTGTAGAAAGGCGTCCTCAGTGAACTTAGATTTGCACACGAGCGGTACCTGCTCCTTCCAAAAAATGTAACAGGGCCTTAGCACAGCTCATTTCCAGAGACAAACAGCAATGGGCCATCCTTCTGCCTTTGGTTCCACACAAAGAAAACTCTAAAGCTGATTTTAAGGTGAGACACGCATAAAGAGAGTCAAAATAAAAAATGTTTTGGACAGACTTGGGATGCTAAAAAGAAGCAGGTCCCTGACTGGAAGATAATCCTGCTCTGGCTCAAAGCAAGAAATGAATATTCAGAGCATGGCAAACAGAGAAGTGAGACAACTTGCTATGAAAACAAATTGAGAGATAAATATTCAGGGCAACAAGATGTGCTATCACAGCTTAAACCTCACAAAAAGAACGGCAACTGCTACAGATAAATAGATCTAAAAAGAATTAGACCCATGGCAGCTTTATGCTTGAAATACTAGTGGAGGATGTCAGAACTGGTTTAGAGGCTTCAAAATGCTGAGAAGACTCCAGCAAGGGGTTGTGCATGTCCAGCTGCTGAAAGGGGTGAGAGGCATGTGCAGATGGAGGGCACTGCTTGTGCTCCTCCCTGTCACAGCCATGGTTTGTTTAGCAGCAATTACATCCCCTTTACACCTCAAAGTGAGAAACGGGGCATTTAAGATAGAGGTTTGCTCAGCCTGTGTAAAGCAGTGTTGTCCTTGCTGCTCCAAACCTTTTTATACTCATCCAAACTTGGGAAATCCCCCTCTACTGTTGCCTTTTTCCTCCCACCAGCGTGAGAACATGGGCGGCAGCTTCAGGCATTTAAAATTGTGGTTCAGATTTCCGCAAAACTGAAATAAAATCACATGGTTGGATTTAGGATGACAGTGAGAAATGTTGAGACAGTAAACAACAAAGAGATTATGACAATAATTTTTGTTTATAGATCTTTTTTTAACCATTTGAATCCTCCAGTCTTTCCCAGGAGTTAAACTTTTATTATTTTTTGAAACCACGTGTCACAGATTTGAGAGCTGAGTCTTTAAGAATGTCCTAAAATGAAGGATCATGATGACTCTATGACACTCAGCAGCACTGGGCATAAGTTTTATACTATTTTCCTTGAAAACAACTTTTAACACCTCTAGAACCACTTCCAGTTCATGCATGGAACAGACTGAAAACACACCACATTTGCTCCTGACAGCTTAGAAAGAGAAGAGGAAACCTGCACCTCTGAAATAAAAGTCTGTTTCAAACCCTTGCAGTGATATCACAAAAAACCTTTGGAGAGCAGGAGATCGTAAAAACACATAAACACATACAAATTGTGGGGGGGGATAAGTGAAACACTCAGGTTTGTTTTGTGTTGGTGAAAATGTGTAACTTAGGGGAAAGAGCAGAACACTGTCCCTTAAATACAGAGCCCATTACATTTTCAGTAAACACCAGATCCCCTCAGTACAACCAGACACAAAGGGGACCTTCCCCTTCAATATTTTGGCCACTGAGGCAGAATATTAACAATTTCCTGCCTGGTATCTTTTCATGCAGATAGAGCTTGTTCTGACAAACAACTTGTGCTATATTTGTAACTAGAAGTGGACTGGCCTTCCTGTCCCTGTTCTCTGAATGTCACAAGTATTAAAGCAGGATATGCATAACAGACCAAAGTTGACATCTCCTTTAATCAGCGATGCTTCTGGGTTTGCATCCTGGCTACATTTGAAAAGAGTTACACAGAAAGTGAAGAAACTGCTGAAAAAAACCAATAAAATATCAGTTACTATAATTTCTTTAACCTTTGCCCTATTTCAACCTGGTTCCTAAAGAAGATATATTAATTCTAGGTACAGAAATAGAAACTCTATTTCAAATGCAGTCATGAATTCTTACATACATGTCTTTGCAAGCAGCATGACCCCCTCTCTGTCTTCACCAGATTTATTCTTTCCTTTGGAATTTGATAGGGAAAGAGAAAATATATATATTGATATTATATATATATTGATATTGCTGTAACTCAATTGTACAATTTTTTTTTTTTATGAAAAAATAATTCTGTGAAAGACTCTAGATACATGTGGTCACTTCTGGAGTTGGGGAGTTTTATCACAGCAGCAGCAGCTAAAAGGCTGAGATCCTTTCATTGGGATTTCTCCAGTTTTGTATTGCCCAAATAATGCTGTTAGAAAAGCAAGCTGAATTTCCTTTGCTGTATTTTCTTGCCCTAAGAGCAGAGTCACAGAGCCAGCAGCTGGCACAAGGCAAAAGGATTGGAAGGTTTTGGTGCAATTGGCTCAAAACCTTTGAATCTGCAACAGAAGGGGCACATTTTATTTTAATGCCCACTTGGCATTTCTAAAATGCACATTATACCTTCAAACAGTATTTCCATCAAGCCCCAGTGCTAAGATCACACCGATTTACAGAATGCCAGTGGCAAATCCCTAAGCCAGCACAGGCTGACAAGAAGCCTGACAAAGACATCTGCAGCATGGTGCTGTGAGGATGAGCATTATTCCTCAGTTCTGCAAGAGCAGCAGAAAAGCAACCAAAATCTCCCTCAAATGGTAAAAGGACATTCAGGGGTCTTTAGAATACCCACAGCATTTCCCTGTACTGTGGAACTGGAGAGAAATATTCACAAAGCCTACGTTATCTAAGAAAAAGCTGTTTCTACTTGTGAAAATCACCAGTGCATTGAAATCTTCTTTTATTTTTAGGAGCACTTCATAGAAGTAATAAAAAACCAGGAATTTCTTTTGCTCCCAGCTAATGAAATTGCCAAGCTCTTGTCTAGTGACGACATCAACGTGCCAGATGAAGAGGCAATTTTCCAGGCCCTGATGCTGTGGGTGAGGCACGACCTGCAAAACCGCCAGCGGGACCTGGGGATGCTCCTCTCCTACATCAGACTGCCCCTGCTGCCACCCCAGGTGGGAACAGGAAGGGTAACAGGGAACTCTGCCAGCTGAAACGCTTGTCTGGAGCATCCTGCAGGCAGAGAGGAGAGTTTTGTGGAAAGGTTCTGGTTTGGACTGGAGATTATTGATATTTCTTTACCCTTTTTTGTTTTTTTAGATGCTATACTATATCTTCATTGTTTTTAAACACAGTTGAAAAGAAATCCCTCAGTGCCTGTGGAATTATCCAGTTTAGAATTACCTGTAAAAAATGTCAGTTTATTCCAAAAGCCAAGTGTTCCTTTGTTGGGTTGTAACAGTTCTCCTCCAGCACAGCAATTTAGATACCATGCAAAGATATTTCTTTAGATTTACCAAACTGCAGGACAGATAAGCCACAATGCTCCTTCCTTTATTGCCATAAAAAGCAGACAAATATAAAATGGCATAAATTTTTCGCTGACAATTCTGAGCACTGACATTACTTGTCCCTTAATTCTGAAAGAGACAATTCATCCATCAAGTTCCAAGAGCTGGACATCCTGTTTCACAGAAAGGTGACATTGCTGGGTCTGTGTCATAGAGGAACCTTTCTGTCTCATCAGAAAAGGATAGAGAATATCAAGACTGTCAGTCAGGACACTTTCTGAATCTACATGACTGATGCTGTAAATATTCTACCTTGAATAACATATAAAAGTACTATGCACACTTAATTTTAAATACATTTAATATTTTTCTAATGTTAACAGAGATGTTCAGTGCTCTGTGGTAGATTTATTTACTCACCTAAGGAGTTTGGTATAGAGGGGGCACTACTACAAATTACTGATTTAAACCATTTTAAAAGTTAAAAGAAAGAGATAGGAAAAATAAATCAAAGCCCTCACACTCACAGACTTTTCTCCCCTAACTTTATATAGTTTTGCTTGCATTAAAGCAGAGTTCCCAGCAAAACACAAGTGAGTGGCGAGCTTAAAACGAGTGTTTGTAGCTACAAATACTTTAATTATTCAAGTACATGTAATTTTAATTATTTAGATATATATCAAGATGCTTTTTTCCCCCCCATTTCTTAGCTACTGGCTGATCTGGAGAACAGCCCAATGTTTGCAGACGACCTTGAGTGTCAGAAACTTCTCATGGAGGCCATGAAGTATCACCTGCTGCCAGAGAGACGCTCCATGATGCAGAGCCCTCGAACCAAGCCCAGAAAATCCACAGTGGGAGCCCTTTATGCTGTGGGAGGCATGGATGCCACTAAAGGTAAGCCCATGAGTTAATTTGATTGGATTAATTAATTACATCACAGACACCCAGACCTTTATTTAAATATTTCCCCTAGGAAAAGATCAGTTTGGGGCTAAAAAAGAAGAAAAAGCAAATCACAGAATGGAATCAGATGTGTCAGAAGTTCTTTCCTCTTGTAAAAAATGCAATTATATTTAGGTGTAGACTAAACTTTGATTCATATGGTTATTTTTAAAATCAAGCTTATTATGAATCATTGTGAAAAATAGTTGAATTTACAAATCAGAAGATGAAGTGAATATTTAAAATGCTTCAAGGTTTGTTTAATATTGAACCTTGTGGTCTATATTCTGGCAAAATAAGAAAGCTAAGATTTCAAAGAAGCAGAAAAATAAAACCAAAAAGCATCACTGAACTACAGAGAACTCTTCCCTAATGCTTATAAATCCTTATTATTACATTTCTGCTGGAAAGATTTGTATTTTTCACGAACGCAGCTTTTTTCCAGGACTTCATACGCGGGGTTTTTTCAGGTTTGTAGTCAAAAGTTAATTATTATAAACGTATTCCAGTTTCTATTATTTGATTTTCACAGCTGCAATCAGGTTACAGCTTTAAACATTGCACTATTCTATTTAGGAGGCAGAATATTAAATCATTTTCTCCAGGAACCTCAACTTCAAACCCACAGCTTGGAGCCAGAGAACTCTAATTAGTTTAAAGTCTAGCGACTTGCTGCACAGAATTACTTTTAGCTGTGTGAGTTCACTTTTAATAGAATCACAAAGAAGATAATCCATTTCATGGTTTACAAAAAGCTGCTGACGACTGATTTTTCCCCGTATGAGAGACCTTGCAGAGCTCCCTCCCTATCTCTGTGCAATCAAATCAGGAGCAGAATACACATCCATCGCCAGCACAACATGGAAACACTCATTCCTAGGACAATTTAGCAAATTGGAGTTAATCTGGTGCAATTAGGTGGATTCATTAGCGATACTGAGTATTTATGAATTGTACCAGGTAATCTTTAAACTATCTTCCCCTAAAATAAGTATATAATTTTGCAATCATGTTTTTCCTAGTAAAGGTTATGCAAAGAAAGGGCTATTTCTGTCAACATCTGCACTTCCTGTTGGTGCCTCTCACTTCTTACCTTGGAGCCGAGCCAATTGTTTGAACTTTTCTTGCCTTTTGATGGGTGAGAGGAAGAGCACTTCCGCTCCTCCCTGCCATCCTCCCCAGCTCTGACTCAGATTTGGAGCCTGGGCTGGATTGGGAGATAAAGAAACAGCAGAAAGAGGCCAGGATGCACTGGAGGAGCAGCTCTGAGAAGGGAGTGACTCCCACCCCTGGCAATAACACGGTGCCTGTGATAAAGGCAGACACCAGGCTTGGCGTCTCAGGCAACGCCAGGTTTGCCTTTGTGCTTATCTCAGGTGGAGTATGAAGACAAATCTCAAATTCCAATGATCAAAAGAAGATCAAAGAGCTACTTTTGGGGCGGAATTTTGAAAAATGGGAACGCGCCTAAACCACGTTAAGTTTTGAGACTTTCAAATCTTCCAGCCTCTGTAAGAATTACAGCCCACAGGGTATGTCTGAACACACTTAAACCTGACTGCATTTTCCCTGCTTTCCAGTCAGTGTGAGAGATTTCCTTTGAAGTGGAAAACTTTGGGGCACTCACGTATTAGCATAGAATAAATGAGAAAGAATCAAAGCAAAGAGCAGCAAACAGAATAACAAGATGGAAAGAGCAGGCAAAGAAACCCAGCTGCTCTGAATAAAGGGGAGAAAGTAGAATTTCTGTCTTTTATTGAAGATGGAGCTGGTAGTCTCTTTCCCAACCTATGCATGAGGAAAAACACATAGATAAGAGAAAAGATAGCAAGAGATAAACTCCTATTTCACTGAATTTCTGGAGTACATCAGGTGATCTCCAACAGACCTCTAAACCAAATCCTATCTTTCTTTTCTGCTTTATTGCATGGCTGTTTTCCTGTTGTAAAAATAAATTCTTAGCCACAAGCTCCCTGTTGTTATCTTCAAAACACCACTTGTCTGCTCTCAAATCCCAGTCAAGGAACAAGAAATCAGCTCTGTTTTCCTCATCTGGCTGCTTTTGACTGAGCTGAATTGGAGCTCCAGGGTGCACTGGCAATTCTGCCTTGGCTCTTCCTGAGCCGTGCCCTCATTGTGCTGTGCAGCTCTCAGAGGAGCAATTTTGGCTCCTGAGCGATGATGGGAGCCAGTGCACGGGGAAGTGTCAGTGCTGAATGGCAGAGGGCTCCTGCCTTATGAAGAACTCCAGCAGAAATGTTACTGGAGGTCCAGAGACCTGAGAAAAATGGGAAATGTGGCTGATGTGTTCCAGCAGCCCAGCAGCTGCACAGGTGAACCTCGGGGAGGATACCTGCGGGAACCAGATGTGCACTCACACACAGCCCTGTCTTCTGCCTGACTCCATCCCAAAAGGGAAAATACTCACAGGATACCCAAAGATGCTTGTCCAGCTCCTCAGACAGATACACAAGGTCTGGTTTTAGTATCACTAATGCTTTAGGCACAAACGTGGTTGAAGAGTAGATTGTTGTGAGGCACTGTATTCATAAGGAGTATAAAGAAACCCTGAAACAAACCCACAGCCCCCCCTATTCTCATGGTATTACAGTAACAGATTTAACTTACATCCAAAATTTGCAGTGCTACAAAAATTGTTGCAATTTAATTCCTCATTTCTTGCCACCAGTATATTCTCCTAGACTCGCCAATCACGTGTGCAATTAATGCAGCTTTCTCACTAGGCTCGCGTGAGAGCTGAAGTTCACAGCTAAATCTCACACACAGAATTTCAATATTCTATCATTTAATCGTGTTTTGAGCTGGCTGCTGACTGCTCCCTCCATGGCTGTCTCTGTTTCCCCCAGGCACCACCACAATTGAGAAATACGACCTGAGGACCAACAGCTGGATCCAGATCGGGACCATGAACGGCCGGCGGCTGCAGTTTGGGGTTGCGGTGATCGACAACAAGCTCTACATCGTGGGGGGCAGGGATGGGCTCAAAACCTCCAACATCGTGGAGTGCTTCAACCCTGTCACCAAGGCTTGGACCGTGATGCCCCCCATGTCAACACACAGGCACGGCCTGGGTAAGAGGGGCTCTGCCTCTGCAAACGCCTCCCAGCACGCACAGACGGGGTTTGGCTGACTCAAAAACTGCTGAGAAAACTTCTAACAGAGCTTAGTAACACCCAGCAATACTTGCACAGGATATTTTTCAAGGAGAGGTTTGCCTATTGCCATAATTTTATGATTTTATTAGTATTCACCTAGCACTGGCCTTCCAGAGTTAATTTTGTTTATTAGGAAATTCCAAAATATAAGCTATAGTGAAAATAATCAACTCTTCACCTGATTTAATGGTCAAAGCATACATTTACAATACAATAATTCAATTTTTTTACTAAATTATGAATTAAGCCCAGATGTATCAATAACCTCTGTAATTCAGATCAGGGCATTACCTGCACTGAAGAAAAGTGTGTGGAAATTAGTACAACTTCACCAGTTCTAATGTTGTTATTGCAAGAAGTTTACCAGAGCCCTGCCATGGCTCAGTATCTATGTTTTTTTTTTACTGCAAAATAATCCTTAATATTGTTCACACTGAAGGAATAATATGAATATGAAATCTAGAATTAATTTACAGAACTATACAAAATAAGGCTAAGTTTACAGATGACTAGACTGTAACAGAGGGAATATGATGATTTCTGAACAATTTACATATCCCAGACCTTATGAAAAAGCTGGCTTTTCTTAAGGTACAGAAACAGGTATTTCTTGAAATCATCACTAAGTTCAAATGGCACGGAGTATTTTTACTTTTATGTAAAATAAAGGAAGATTGATCCAGAATTATTTGGCAAACCATTGTGGCCTATGTCACCTTCTCCACTGCTTGGTAGAGAAAGGGTAGTGTAGGGTTCTTACCAGAGCACAAAATATATGAAACCAAATACTAGTAGGTGGCAAAGAGGAAGAAGACCAAACAGATGAAATAATTTTCATTGAAATCTATAAAATTCCTGATTGCAGGGGCATAATTCTCCCCAACAAATAGGTCACAACCATAAATTTGTGTGCCTAAAGTTTGGCTTCAATCTGTGCCCGTTTTGCAAAGCTGCCTCACACTTACAGCCCCTATTACCTGCAGGGAGATTCTGTGCAGAGTTGGTGCTTTTGAAGAAATCAGGCCATGTATATTTAGGCCTGAAAGACAGATTTAGAAAACTTTTAAGCAGCTGGATTGAAACATTTTGCCTCACCTAACAAAGGGAGCAAAGAGCAGCAGCAACTCCCAGAGTGAAGGCAGCAAAGCCCTTCTCTGGAGAAGCACAATGGCCCAGGATTTGTCCACTCAGAGCTTTGCAGTGACAGCCAAGCTGGCTCTCCTGTGCCTCAAGGACAGCAGAAAGGAGACAGCTCTTATCCAAAAGGCATTAAAATGTTGTGGTGCTTCAGCTGGAAAGGACAGCCAGCGACCCACCCACCCAGGCTTCGTGCTGGCAGCTCTACAGAGCTTCAGCTGGGCCAGAATTTGGAGAGGTTTTTGGTCTGGGCATATTTTTTGTTGTCTGACTCAAGTTTTGCCTTTTTATAGGAGAATAACATCATTTCCCAGTTAGGGGCTCAAATTCGTTTCAGAGCAAGGTCACCAGAAGTGAAAGAGATAAAAGTCCAAGAAGAGAACATCAGAACTAAAGCAGCTTTCCTCTAATCTTTTGGCAAAAGATAATGGTTATTTAGAAGAACACTGCATGTGAAGTGCTTGTTTATCTTTATTTATTCTTCCAAATGAAAAGGCAGCTTTCAGGCCGTTTAATACCAGCTGAAATTGCTTATCTGCATGCAGGGAATTAACGTACGAAATGAATACGCCGGCGGTCACTGAAACCAGGAGATAATTTCTCCCTAATTCTGTCTCTCAAGGAGTGGCAATGCTGGAAGGACCAATGTATGCAGTTGGTGGCCACGATGGGTGGAGTTACCTGAACACAGTGGAGCGCTGGGACCCGCAGGCTCGGCAGTGGAATTACGTGGCCAGCATGTCCACGCCAAGGAGCACCGTCGGGGTCGCAGCACTCAACAGCAAGTATGGCACCAGGAAAACCTCTCCCTGGGTTTTTATTTGCTCCCTTCCCTGGAAATGCAGCTTCTGAAATTATATTTTCAGGCTTATGGTTATTAATGACCTCAAGGAAAAAAAAAGAGAAAATATAATGCATGGAAATAAGAAAAGAAAGTCTTTCCTTTGCTGTGTGGTAAATTGATTTCAAACTTGCAGTCAGGTTTTAAATGCATTTCAGTCCTTTTAAATTATAGCAATGTGACAATGTTATTACATGCACATCAAAATTTTACCTAGAATATGGAGATATAAAATCAAGTACTTAAAAAAATATTCCAAGTTCATGTTTACATTTTAAAGTTATTATGTCTAAATAGACTTAATAGGTATGGAAAAAAAGCCTTTCCTTTGCATAGAAATTCACAGCCAATTTTTAAAATGTTGAAGGTGTATGTTGTGTTTAAGGGAAAGAAGACAAGTTTAATAAGTAGGTATAGAATAAACAGCCTCTTATAAATCTTATCCTATCCAGATTTGCTCTGCCCTCCATCTCTTGCTTAAATACACAAAATCAAGTATGAATGTATTCAACCATTCTGCTAAGATGCTAAAGCCACTCAAACCCTTTTACATGGGAGCAGACAACAGTGTGGATCTCACAAAAGCCTTGTAAGAGGCCTCAGGTTGTGGAGAATACGGTTTGAGCCAACATTTCTTGTTTAAACCTGTGGGAAACTCTTAGCAGTTTGTAGGGAACACTCAGTTACAGGCAGGCAACTGCATTTACCTGGAACCTTTGCCACTGGCTTCCCTGATCACCTTGTAAATTCCCAGGGAAGAGAAGGATAAAAAGCAGAAGCGAAGATGTCAGCAAAGGGATATTTGTAAATGCAAGTTGGGGTTTGCATTCATACAAGGCAGAATTCAAATCGTAGCTCACAAGTCCACGAGAGGCAGCAGTGCCTCTCCAGGTCCCTGCTGTAGCTCAGAGGAAATGTTCTCAGCAGAAACTCCACCAGGAACTCCTGCTGGTGCCTTCCACAGCAGCAACATGCAGGAAACCGCTTTGTCAAAGAGGAAATCAGCCCGATCCCAACTCTGTTCTCAATCACTGCTGACACAAACTGTCTCCAGCAGGGCTTAAATCACGTCTGTTAGTCTGCTGATGTAATTTCTGGCATACCAGGAGATCAAATGTCCATCACTCAGTGCTACTGCTGCTGTCCAGCCAAGAGAATGCTTCTCCTTTTCCTGTTTCCCTAAATCACACCATATTTTTTCCTGTTCAACCCCACCAGAAAAGTCTTTACATATCTAGGGACCAACACTTTCAGACCAATAAATGCTCCATTGAAAACATCAATCAATAATGCTATATTTGGTCTTTTCCTTAGAGAATGGGAAGCACCACCGTGTTTGTAGACATGTTATGGAAAACAAAGGATCTCAACCAATCACTTTGTATATACAGAGATTTCCTTGCCCTGTGAAAGCTGTGTAAACAAGCAGACTGTATCAATGGCATGATGTGAAAAGAAAATAAAGAAAAGCCTCAAGTTTTGTATGGCTCAGACCACAAACTGCACAACCAAACTCAATTTTATCAAGTGAACAAACCTTAGGAGAGAGAGAGAGAGCTGGGGATATTTTATTATTCTAATGGTGGTTAAGAATCTTCTAGTTAAAATATGCACCAGAGAAGTCTGAAAGCTTTGTAAATCTATGGAAATAAAACAGGCACTTCAAAAGGAAAATTCAGCTCATCTGGTTTACGTGGTTTACTCTGGGCACATCCACGTGTTCCCTAGGTCTGTAACAAGCTACGCTAAATAAATTAAATTCCATGGCAGAAAATAATAACAAGAGTCTGAAAGGGAGCAGAAAAACCAGCACACCCAACACCTGATGTTTTTAACATGGATTATCACAATTTATTCCTACAAGTTGCCCTGACATGAGCTGTTTAAATCTCCAGCTGTTTGCTAAGTGCCTTTGGGCTGAACAGACAAGATGACACAAGGTGTCCAACAGATTTTCTTAAATACAGACTCAGAGGAAAATATATTTAATATATGTTTTATATATGTTTTTGATATCTATTCAAGTTATTAAAGTAAACAGCATGGGAAAGACTTTCAATGTGACGTCAATTATTCTGTAACTCTGTCCCAGGGAATGCTACCATATATTTCAAACATATGCAGCAGCATCTTTCTATTCAACTCTTTCAATTGCCCACATTTAGAGAACCTGACATGAATTTTTAAGCTTAATTTTTGTATGTGTCTGCTTGAACATTTCCACTGTAAGTGAAGAACATAACTTCATACAACACACAAAGCCTTTGGGCAGAGGAAGTCCCTGAGCACAACAAATAACGGGTGTAATGACAACTTTAAAGAGGTCTGAATGAAGTCAGCCAGATAAAATTCTTATCAGTGGGAGAATAAAGTCTGAAATTGTTTGCCTGCTTGTGGGTTGTTCTCCCAGGCTGTACGCAGTCGGTGGGCGAGACGGGAGCTCCTGCCTGAAATCCATGGAGTGCTTTGATCCTCACACAAACAAGTGGAGCCTGTGTGCCTCCATGTCCAAGAGGAGAGGTGGTGTCGGCGTGGCCACCTACAACGGGTTCCTGTACGCCGTGGGAGGCCACGATGCTCCCGCTTCCAACCACTGCTCCCGCCTCTCCGACTGCGTGGAGAGGTAACAAATTATTTTCCTTTTTTTTTTCCTCTTTTCTGTTTACATTCCAGGAAGGGATTATAGAATTAATTCTCTTCAAAACTGGAATGTCGTGTTTGTAAAACATACTCTGCCTTTTTAAAAAAATTATACTTGGAGCAGGAATAACTTGCTTCCAATATTTTTGTGATAATAAGAGAATTAAACCCCAGCAATAAATTCCTCCCTTCTGCCTGAGCTACAGAAGCAACTGAAGTACTGAGACAAATTCAACACGTGACCTTTCTATTTCTCAAGTGCCAGAATTCAGATTTAGGCTGCTTATGCCACGGACTGTAGGAATTAAATACTTTTTCAGTTGTTCTTCCAAGAATTTGACTGACACTGATGAAAGTTGTAAAAATATAAGAAACATCACAAAGTCTTGTCATTTGGGGAAAAGAAAGGAAAACTCCTCAGTTTTTCAGTTTTCAGGTGTCAAACCCTGCTGTGAACAACAATGGCCAAATTCAGTTCTCAGTTAGATGGGGTAAAGCAGGAACTACCTGGAATTCACTGCAATTTATATTGGAATAGCTCTGAAGTAAAATCAATATTAATGTAAGATTTTATGCATTTCATATGAGAATCTTAGAGCTACTTCACAATTTATTTAACTTCTTTTATAGTAAACTTCTCTGAAAACATTATTTCTGACAATAAACAGAAAACCAAAGGCTTTATGGAAGGAGAAAATAAGAATATATTGAAGTTAACTCTGCTGAGTCAACTGGTGGCCATGCTATCATTCCCTCAGGTCCCATTTAGTATTTAGAATGTATTGATGGATTAAAGTAATTGAAATGATGAGACTGTAATCAAAAAGTTAAAACAGGAGTATTTTCCATGTGCTTGAAGGCCCCTCTAGTGGCCAAACCAAAAACCAAATCACATCTCAGTTCTGCTCGTTCCTGGTGTAAAGTGAACAGCAACACAGGAGAAAACAGGTGGATATCAGCAATTTTATCTGAAACGTGTCTCCACCATGCATTTTTATGGATTTTGATCACCACATTTCCTAGGTATGACCCCAAAACAGACGCCTGGACCACAGTGGCGCCTCTGAGCGTGCCCCGGGACGCGGTGGGGATCTGTCCCCTGGGGGACAGGCTGTATGCAGTGGGGGGCTACGATGGGCACTCCTACCTGGACACTGTCGAGTCCTACGATGCTCAGAACAACGAGTGGACAGAGGTAACGGGGACACAAATGGTGCCTCAGGGGCTCTTCCTGCAGCCAGGAATGATTCTGTCCAAATAGCTGTGAAATTGTCGCCGCTTTGGCGAAAAACGACATGAAAAACGTGGGGATGCAGCAATACTGGAGGTGGGCTTGAATAAAACGTCAGCTTCCTCTCCTGTAAAATAACCACCTGCAACTTTTCAGTGGTGGAGGAAATGCGTGGGGCCAAGAAAAGCAGATTGCACAGATCACTCTGGGTTTGAAGTGCCTAAATTCGCTGTTGTGTTTGTCAGCAACACCTTCTTCTGGAGGCACCTTCAAACTTTCCTATCTATGGCCCTCCCCACTGAGACCAAGAGGAAACACCTGGAGCACCAAGACCCTCTTGCAGCCACACACTCCAGGCTTTTGGAGCACTGGATGTGAAGGCCTGTGGAACACGCCAAGGGAACAACACCAGGCTACACCCCTGTAACTCAGGGGCTGCTGGATTTTGCCAAAAAACCCAAACTGTGTTTTCATACCTTAGTTAAACCCAATTTTTTTTTAGCGTGACATCAGTTTGAATAAACAACCTGCTTTCCTATTAATCTGACAGTAATTTCTTCTTGTCCTATCCATAGGATGCTACTAAAAATATTTCCTCCTTTTTTCCTTTTCTGTTTTCCTTTTCCTTTCTAGGAAGTTCCTGTCAACATTGGGAGGGCTGGAGCATGTGTTGTTGTTGTGAAGTTGCCCTGAGGACTGTAAATTATCGTGAAACTGAACTGAGTGGAGTCTCAGAGGACAAGAAACATTTCCAGGAGCAGCACAGACTGCACACCCCTCAGCAGCCCTGAACAGACAATATTTATCCCTGAGCCATCACACTAATGCAGCACAGAAGTGTCTTCCTGCATCACAAAAACCAGAGAACTTTGCAGAAGTGAATTTCTTTATTATGCCTAATAAGCAAAATCCAATAAAATGGTTTAAATGTTTGAATGGTTTAGGTTTGTTACAAAAGTGTATCTGTTATTTATAAAATGCAGCAGTGAGAGATGTGTATAAGATTTCAAAAACTTCTTTTTCCTTTCTATGTTGTCAGGAATGCTAAAGTTTATAAAAAATGCTTTTATATTTTAAGTAAATGAAAATGACTATGAAACACCTCTAACAGGGAACTGCACAGAAAGAAATATTTGCTGTCAAATATTACTGTCAAAAGAATATTCCCTGTAGAGGCATCTTAATTTCTGTATTCAGAAATTAAACTCCTAAATTAACTTCAAAATCAAATCAGAGAAGCCAATAATTTATTTATTTACCATCCCGCACTGCTAGAACTGTGACAGAATATCCATTTTGAGCAGTGCATTGGATTGAATAATTCAAGTTAAGTCGTGGTAGGGTTAAGGTACCTTTATGCTATTGTGTGCCAGCAAAAAGAAATTTCTTTTGTCAAAACATAATGCAAACATAATTTGCAATCACTTTCAGTACATAGATGTGTGATATTTTAATGCTGCTCTGTGTTTCAGGTTATTCATGGATTTCTCTTTGCCCACTAACCATCTGTCAGTACGTGTTAAACTAATCTGACTATTCTTGGGATAATAACTGTGCATTAAATTTTAAAACAATCACATAATTACATTCCTTGAATATAACTTACAGAATGAAATTTTTATATCATATTGATATGACAATCTTTGACCTCAGCTGAAGATTACCAGCTTTCTCTCATGTACAGTAGAAATATGGTAAGGAATAAACCACACCCACTGTGTAACCTTAGATACCATTTATGTAATCATGTTTATGTTTTATCTGGAATTAGTGGAATGATAAGAATCAAGAACAAACAGGAAAAGGAACACCTGAAAACAGCACATAGCATTCCACATGCATGATATTTTCCTCTTGTGTGCCAATTTCTACTGTTTTGCTTTAATTTCATTTTTTATAATTTCAAATGCTGAAAGTGTATTCTAGAAAAAAGAATGTATGTAAGATAGTCTATGCTGTAAAGCACAATATTTGGTCAGTATCCACCTCAGTGTTTGTTTTGTTGTTTTGTCAGTATCAGAAAATTCAGGACAGAGACAAAAATCTCTCAATGTGTAGGCCAACTTTCCTGATAAATACTGTGGTTTCAGATTTCAGCAATATGCTATTTTAAAACAAATTTATAGTATTAAACCTATTGAATGCCTCTAAAGAAAAAAATCTCATAAGCATATTTATAAAAAAAGAACATTTTTAACTTTAAAAATCAATTATGTTTATATATAGCATGCTACATTCAAATAAACTTTACTTTCTCTGCTAAGAAAATTTGGACTATATTTTAACAACCTTGTGGTTTTTATTTTACATCCTTTCAAATCTAGCAGATGCAGAAGCATCAATCTCATTTTTTTTAAATCTAAAATAAGAAAAGATGCACAAAACCCTCCCTGCCAAGCAAATGGGGAATGAAGCCTAAACCAGCTCGTGGGTTCCAGAAGTCACCTCCAGAAGAGGGAAATGTTTTAATTTCCCAGCAGATCAAGAATCTGAAGTGAACACAAGGGGCCAAGCACAGACAGAGAATCTGCCCAGGGATGCCCTGGGGAGCAGGAGGTGGGTGTTACTCTCCCTGTCCCATAGGAAAGCTGTCTGACCACCCACCCAGAGCATCTGGCAGCAAACACTAACTCCTAAACATTATATAAATTATATTATATATAATAATATAATTATATATAATATAGATTAATATATAATATTTTATCACCATATTTATCTATATTATATATACATATGTATAAATCTATATATAATTATATATAATTATATAATATATATTTATATAACTTTTATTATACATTCCTATTTATTTTATATATTTATTTTATATTTATTATCAGTGATAAATTAGATATATATATAATTATATATAATTATATTATATCTATTTATATAACTTTTATTACACATTCCTATTTATTTATTTTATATATTTATTTTATATTATAAGTGATATATTAGATATATATTATCTATCTATCTATCTATCTATCTATCTATCTATCTACCTATCTCTCTGTCTATCATATATCTATCTATCCATATATATATATCTATATATATATATCTTTATTTATCTATATATATCTATATCTATATTGAATATAATATAAAAAATTTAACATTTCCCCCCTATTTTTGTCATCCTGCTTTGATCCTGGAACAGCCACATGCAATCTTTCATACGAATAAGGATTTGTGTGGATGCAGGGAGAAGCTCCCTGCTGGTTTCCACCCAAGCTCTAGATGATGCTTTTCCCCCAGAGCTGCACACCACTGCTGCCAGGAACCACTACAGCCTTGTATGTTTTACTCTTGGGTGGAAAGCAAGCAAGAATGCCCATTTTTAAAATCCAGCATAAAATGATACAAACGATGTGCAACTGATGCCAAGAAGCATGTCAGGACAGACGGACAGACTGACAGTGCCAATGGGCCTGACCCACTGAGCCTTGGCAGGAATTTGAATTCTCCTGGGAAAAAGAAGGCAGAAGCCTCAAGTGAGGGAAAGCAGCCATGGCTTCTGAGCCAATAAAGATATTTATAAATACAAACCCATCACCAAAAAACTGTTCCAGTCTATGGTACCTTAATCCAAACACACGGGACCTTTGAGAGATGACGCAGAACTCCCCTGCCTTTGTCCCTTCCTCAGCCTGCAAATTTTATTAAATCAGTAAACAAGACATGAAACACTTAGGGAAAAAAAAACACTTAGATATAAACAATCCCCTTAAATATCTCTGGAAATACACACTGCCATCAATGTAATTTAATAAAGGCTCAGAAGTAGTATTAGAAAACTTCCTGTATTTCTTTACAGCTCTCTAAAGAAATTGTGTCATGAACTTTTCTTATGTAAAAAATAAGACAGAAAAAATTATGTTATGATTTTATCTTGCAGGAAGCTGCTCCATTATCAGGTTAATAAATTCAGGAGCTCATACTAGCATGAACCACAGTCTCTGAGGCAGAGCATGTGAATATTTGCATGTGAGTGTTATGAGATGGTCTCATTCCTATGGCAAGGCTACAGTAGCAAGTGCACTTCTTCAATTAAAAGTTTAAGGCTGCATCTTTTTATGGAAACAACACCAAAATAGAGGTCTAGGGAAAAGGGAAAGGATGGGAAGGGTATGGTGGTTTTAGTAATGAACTTTAAGTGGTTTGTTTTAGTTTTTCCATATTATTTGTACAGCAGTGAAAAACCATGTGAAAGGAAGCCAGCACTCCACAAAGGGAAATTGGGATCTAAACAGGAAGGTGGAAACAAAGAAAGCAAGAGAAGTGGAAGGTTTGGGTGATAATCTCTACATGAGCTGCAGCAGCAGTGATGCTTTATGTAAATATAATGTATGGGGAGCAGGGATTCCACTGACCCATGAAATCAGTTCTGGGAAAGGCTGAAGATGCAGCTTAACCACGTCTGTGTCTAGAAGGAGATCTTTAGGCCAGGAGCATAAGCCCAGAAAACCACTCCCATAACTTTAGCAGTGATACTTGGAGGAAAGAAATATCAGAGTTATTTACAGCTGCCACAATGAAAATGAATTATTTTCCTGATAGAATATAAATTTTAATTTCTTGCATAACACAGCTACACTAAACCAAAATCTCAGTTGATCAGTACTGGGTGTCTGCAAATTGTATAAACCAAGGAGTGAACAGCCTACATTCAAATCTTATGGGAACTTGGGATTTATCCAATCCAGGCAGTAACATGGGATGTTTTTCCTGACAGGGTCACACACATTTTCCGTGTAGGATATTTCAGTGTGAATTTCCTTACAGTTGCTTGATGTTTGCCCATTAATTATTCACTCAGGGCAGACATGACATGCTAAGACCCATTTCTTAATAATGAGTCCTCTTCCTCAACAATGTGAAAAGAAGTTTTCTCATCCCCCAGGCCTTCAAAGTCTTGAGCACTGGGGTTTGAGCGAGACTCGAGCTCAGCTCATCTCGGTTTGCCATTCAGGCTCTGCTCAGAAGATGGTGCTATGCAACAATTTTTGGAGAATCCTGGCTCTTTCTAAGAAAACACGAGGCTGCCTTGTAGTAATATTTATCCTTGAAATATAAATCTACTCTTTAACACTCTCAAGATCCTCCTCCATTTGTTCATGGAACTGCCTCACGGACACGCTCCCCACACACACACAGGCATTGCTGGGCTCTCAGGAAATATTGGAACCAAAGTTATTGAGGTACAGCAAAGCCCCTTTTGTGAATATTCCCAAAGCAGCAGCTGGTATTGCTGCCCTGGTGCCTGTCCTGGGTTTTGGCACATGGAAATCAAAAGTTGTTTGTGTTTGATTTTGCTGAGCTCAAATCACAGCACCCAGTTCTTTGGCTGCAAAGGCTCGGGATGGAAAGCCAGTGATGAAGACGAAGATGGATGAAGAGAGGGCTCTATTTTGGTCCTTTAGGCCACCAACCAGCCAGGCAGCCCACAGCAGCCTCCTCTGGCTTCATACAGACATTTCTAAGCTGCAGTTCCTGATGAGGGGTAAATCTGTTCAGCTCTGCCCTTTTGAAAATGCACACAACACGTCCATAGGTGTTAAACCATAAAGAAAATATAAGATGGGTTTTTCCCTGTTTCCCCATTTTCCATACTGGGATGGTCATGAAACAGAGCCAGAGGTGAATTCAGTGTGCTTTACATGAAAGATCAGGAAACTTCACACAGTCCTGCCATTGCTTTTTACAGGGGATAAAACGCAGCATCATCCTTCCCCTGCAGCAGGGAACAGCGACTGCTCCCAGATACTGGATACAACTTTTCCAGGATTCAGGATTCAGGATTCATTTCACCTTACCTCTCTGTAAACACAGAGCTGCAATTTGCTTTCATATGTATTTCTCCTCATCACCTCAAATTAATAGACAATTCAATGATACCACTTCCAGAATTCAGAAAGAAGTTCCAAAGCACAACACTAAAAAAATGAATTATGAATTATTTCTTACAGAAAATAGAGACCAATTTACAAGCAGCTTTATACTTTTTATAAGACAGCTCTAAATAAAAAACAATAATTTAAAAAATGTTGGGGAAAGTGAAGTGTTAGAGCACTTGAAACTGACCCTCTCTGCTGATTAAAGTACTTTAATCAAAGGGGTAACTATTCCTCACTGCCATCTGCCAGCTCAAGTTAAATTTGAGCTCAGAGACATTTGACTGTGCTCTGTAGAGAAGTTAAAACGTCACAAACATATTAATAATCTGTTATGAACCCCCACTTTTGCATGGCAAACTTTGCTTTTGTATTTTCAGCACACCTACCCCCCCTCCAAAGACATTTCCTCAATAATTACTACCATGGGGGCAAAAGAAACTCCAAAAGAAAACTTCTTTGTTTCTGTGGCACAAGCTGTAGAGATGGAAAGAGAGACAAAACCCCAAATGGATTCATTTCCTCAGCTTCCCAAACCCCTCAGTGTCCAAATGAAAAGGCAGAGCAGGTATCTGGATGCAACTGTTTACATAACAAGTCTCAGCAGCTCTTTCCCTGCCTCCCTCTCCTCACTAAACAGGAGCTTTCTTCCAAAAAGCTTGGAAATATCACTTCCCTAGAGGCTCCTCTGTGCATTACCTACCTTCTATTCTCACAGCCTCCTTGAAAACAAACATCCTGCCCTCAAATCCTCCAAACCTCTACGTGCCAGAAGCTTTCCTGCCTTTGAGATCCCCCTCCTAAAGCTCAGTTTATCTGACAGCGCTCACATGTAAGATCAGGCACGAGAAAATAATGCCAATTGTCACGAAACCAGTCCAAGTGGGAACAGTTTTAATTTCAGGCATTCAAATGTAAGCTAATCTTTCTTAAAATAAAGATAAAATCAGCACTTCTAGATGAAAAAAATTAAAAGCCTATGTACAGCTACTGAAAAATGGATGATAATTGAAAAACCCCATTCTGCCCAAGGCATCTTTGATAAGAATTGATTATCAAAGACCTCATTAGTTTCTTTCACTCCACACTGTTTGTGCTGAACAATAGTAAATAAAAAGTCTTGTGATGATTGTGTCTTTACAACCTTAAGTATTGCACGATTCTCAGAAAAACATGTGCTTGCCTGATTCAGTTGGGGAAAACAGTGTGCCATATAAAGAAAAACTCATTTTAATCACACTCAGTAATCAGATTCTTTTGTGGGAAAAGGGGCCTGCAGCTGCTAGATGGAATCAAACACGCTGCAAGAATAAAGAAAAATCACTATGGCATGTTCTTCCCGAGCAGCATTGTACACACTTCATT